TGTTTCCTGTTCTAGATAGTCAGAGCTGAGAAGGATAAGTGTAGACAATTCTCTTCTTTTGAAAGACGACTCTGTTAATGCCACACTAATGGAGAAGACATGCGATAAGCGGGTTCTGACATTTTCAGCAACAAAGGATTAACCTAGTTGACCAGAGTGGTTGCTGCTGGTTTCACTACAGCAATACCTATTACAGCTGCATTGGGGGCTTTATCAAAATGATGTTTCATCAGAAATGCTGCACAAGTGTTGGTTTTGATTCACTTTCTGGTTTCAAACATTTTTTGAAATAAAATGTTTGCAACTGTTGAAATAAAAGGAAAAATTCTATTTTTCATGTGAAAATGACTGTTTAAAATATAGGTTAATTTTAATTTCTAGTAAACTAAAATGTCAAGATATAAAACAGAATTTTGAAATTACTGTTTCGATTGACTCAATCTAACGTTTTTTATTTCACGTTCATGCGTGCGCTGTGGCCTTTTCCAAGAAGTGACTGAGAAATCCTTAGGCTCTTTGCAGCTATTCTGCTTCACTGAATGCAGCATAAGAAGCTGCAAGCATAAATAGAACAGAGAGCTCTAGCTGACCTCCACCCTCCAAGTTAGGCAGCAGTGAAACTCTGTGCTTGTTCTGGGCAAGGACTGACACTGGGACAAACCATCTAACAACACAAAAACAATTGCCAAATTCTAATTTGTTACAGATACTATTTCCTCCTGCAGGTGAGACGTGACCACAAAACTAACAGCATCAACCCACCTAACTAGCCAAGATATATGTAAAGATGTAAGTAAAGGCGGGAAGACAAATGTAATAACTCAGGTGTCAATACACAGAATGAAAAGCCCCTAGTAATTTAAGAGCCTTACGACTTATCTTCACTGCTGTAGACAGTGACGCTGTGACAGTCGATCTTCCAGCATTCGATTTAGCGGATCCAGTTAAGACCCGCTCAATCAAACGTTGATGGTGCCCCTGTCGGCTGGGATGCTCCTCGCAGACACAAAGAAGAAGGGAAATTGATGACAGCATTTCTCCCATCGACCTCCCCGCGACAGGGCTGCCCCAGAAAAATTGATGTAAGGTACGACGACTCCAGCTATGCAATTGTTGTCGTTGGAATTGTGCATCTTACATTAATTTTCTGCTCCGGGATAGACTGGGCCTAAGATTCACTGAACACTAGGCCCAGAGCTCCTAAGGTTCTAAGTCACTTTTGAAATTCGAGACTGGGGTGATTTTGAAAACATTAATCATTATATTAACAGTGGCAATGCTGAGTGTATTAATATTAATTTTGTTCATTACACAGACACTAACATTAACTGTGAATGATACAAAGTTGGGATTCACACCCAAACTTCCCCAAGCTTAGGCATGAGGAGATCTGAGATTTCCACTCAGGAGAAACTCTAATGAAAGTAGTCTCAGAGGGGTGGCCGTGTTAGTCTATAGCTTCAGTCCTGTGGTACCTCAGGGTGTGTCTAGACTACAGGGTTTTGTCGACAAAAGTGAACTTTTGTCGACAAAACTATACCTGCGTCCACACTGCTGCTGAGTTCTGTCGCCATAATGTCAACAGAACTCAGCAGTTTTGTCGACGTCTGTAAACCTCATTCTACGAGGAATAACGCCTTTTGTCGACAGGGTTCTATCGACAGAAGGCGTTATTGCATCTACAGTGTCCTTTGCGTCTACACTGTCATGTCAACAAAGCGGCTTGCTTTGTCAACAGAACTGGATGTAGTCTAGACACTCTGTTGACAGAAGCTTTGTCGACAGTATCTGTCGACAAAACTTCTGTTGACAAAAGCCTGTAGTCTAGACTTTCCCTTAGAGACTAACAAATATACAGAGAATCATGAGCTTTTGTGGGTAAAACTCACTTCGTCAGATGAGTTGGAGTGAAAATAGAACACAGACTTACTGGAATGGGCCCAAATCTTAATTTATCTCAATGAGCCTAAATCAGGAATAATTCTACTGAAGCCAATTATGTTACACTGGCATTAACCAGGCCCTGTATTCCTTTCCAATAACGCCTAAGAATCAGCCACTTGGTTCAGATTGTGAGGTGAGGTTCAATTATTATGCCAGCTACACAGGCCTGTTCCCACTGGATTGAGTCTGCAAATAAAAATCACAGACAGGAACTGCAAGTTATGATTAGCAAACAAAGAATTTCTGTTTGTGTTAAGACCCTTAGGGTGTTGTGATCATATGTCTTTCTTATCGAGTGGTTATGTCAAGCCTCTGACATGTAGAAAATGATGTGAAATCACTTGAAATTACATATGATTGCTGAAAGCCTGAGAGAATAATGAATAGTGAATAACGTGCCTCGTGTTCAGGCAGCCACTGACGTTAAACAAATGCCATCTCTTTTTTGTTCAGAAGATTTTGAAATATTAATTTCACAAGAGAGATAATTGCAACCAAAACTCTGTTTAATAGCAGTAACAGGGCAATTTAACCCAACAAAAATAAGGGAATTAAATGGAGAGGCTCATGTTACTGGAGGGGGCTTGGAATGGGTTCTTATCCTATAAACAAAGCCTAAGCACTCAACAGCTTGGCCCGACTCCATACGGATTTTGCAGGTGAAAGCTCTGACAACATTGCGATTGGTAGATTGCTAGAATATGACCAGAGTTGAGCTTTTAAGTTTGCCAGACTTTACTGGTATAATCAAGTTTATGTCAATATTGGACCGGATTCTCCCAGCCAGCAAGTCAAGAGGAATGAGCAAAGCACTACTCCCCACTCTCAGAGAACAGATGCCAGCCAAGCCCAAGCTCCAGGTGGAGCAGCCTTTAGCCTGCTCTAACTTACAGCAGCTGGAGGTGAGAGGAGTCAGCTGGACTGTGGATTGGGCTGATGATATCCCCCTTCTCCCTGCACCAGGAGCCAGCAAAGGGCTGTTGGAGGAGCTGCTATAATAGCCCTTTACTTCTGGAGCCTTCTTCTCTGCAGGGGAATCCTCCTGGGGCCACTGAAGCTGCAGAACTGGGTCTGTGAATTGTCCGTTCAGGAGACATGAGGTGTTTTCTCCTCCAAAATGAGAAGTTTCATCACTGAAAATGGGGGAAGTACCCTCTCCAAAACGTCCAACGCTCGCAGCAAGGTGCCCCCCGCCACAGCTGTCTGTGTGTACACACGTTCCTGTTTCCTTCTCCCCAGCACACTGCACTGACCATTAATGCCCAGTTCACTGATGCTACGTTATCTGCAAATCCAACCGATACCATGGGACTCAGAACAGCTGCACGTTTTCAAAACCAGTACCGACCAGTCGGTACCTTAAACCCCTCCATCCTAACACACCTAGACAAGGGCTAAAACATTTCAGAGTCGATTCATTTACTGCTACTCGTGTTCCCCAACCACACCAGAGCCAAGCACAGTTCAAGGTAGCAAACATTTCCACATGGCCGT